GCTCAGAGAACCCCAAGAACTCCACAGTTCAACCCTGAGCTACACATATTCACCTCTATTGATATAAATAAAGTCTTAAAATTGTACTCTGGCCTGGGACTATGTAGCAGAAGATCTTAAGAGGAGAGGCCTGGTCATTCACTGGTAAATAACTGATGTAGTGGATGCATCCCCTCCTTTTTTGTTTTTTAGTTTTGAGATTTTTCCCTAAATTGTATAATTTTTTTCAATTATTTATACTGCTTCCTTAGTTTCTTCCCTTTGCGTATTTAATAAATTCTTGTCCACAGATTGCTTAACTTCATTACTGTTTAAATTACTGATAATGATTCCATAGTATTTTAGTAGCTTTTTCTTAAATATACACAGTTGGACTACTAGTTTAGAATGGTTTCTGTAGAACTTGTAATTTCAGTGAAGAACACTGTCTTCTGCAAATCCCACTTGAAGTCACAAGGAATTCTTTCTGACTAGAGCTGTAACTATACTTTTGTGATTGTTTTGAATTAATAATATCATGTACTCAAGGTACAAACCATTCTTATTTCTGTTAATCAAGTAATGTAAATATCTCCACAATAACGTCAGAGTAGTAATGTACTAATTTGTTCTTTGAAGTGGAAGAATAGCATTTGGTAGTAAAAAATATACAGGGTTATTGCCAAGAAATCCCTATATTAGCACATGTACACTTCCACTTTATGAGTGTACAAATTAACAGACTGTATAAAAGTATATATGATACATGTTTAATATTATAAGATAAATGTACAGAGCAACTGTCTGCACATATGTAATGAACTGCCCTCCTTTAAAAAGAGAAAAATGATTGCTAGGAATTTATCGTTGCGCTAACAAGTTAGCTTGATATATTCAAACACAGACTTTTTTAGATATGCTCTTAGTGGTTATGTTTCTCAGATCTAGCCCTTATAAAAAGATAATATCACAGCGTTAAAAATGATATCCAATCATCTTTGCTAAATTTAGGGTCCCAATATTTCTGTAATCCAATTATAATTGGGCTGTATCCCAGTGGATACAAATTCCTCTTAACTGTCCTGTCATGATGGAAACAAAAGGCCCACTTTTCCCAATAGGGACTTTTTGTAGGCATTCTACTTTAATTATTTAGAATACATTCAAAAATATAACACTTTCAATAACTTAATCTATGTTCCACCCAGGTTGCTTTCCCCAGGTAAGAAATACAGCACTGTCTTATATATCTCTGCCTCTCTCCTGGAGGCAACTATATTAGTTCATTAACAATCTGTTCTGTCTATGGTTATGCCATTAACTAATTAAAGCAATTAGCATAGACATGTAAAGATAAGTTTGGGTTTATAGACTGTTTAATTAATTAATTAATTATAATTTATTTATATGGCTGCCCATCTTCTGGTAGTGACTCTGGGCAGCTAACATAGAATTTAAAAACTTGCAATACAAAAAACCAACAATATAAAAAACATGATGACAACCTTAGTTCTATGTATTATTTTAAAACTGCCTGTGGTTCTCTTTGCATACTTTCCATAGATATCAGATAGATTATTTATGCATTTATTCAGTTTATAGGGCCATCTGCTTGTCTAGGTGACTCTGGATCAAAAACTTTAAGTCAAAAACATCAAAAATGCATCTGCCATAATAAAAAGAAAGGCCCTCTGAATTTCAGGGGGATGTTGTTCCATAGGACTGTTGCAGCAATAGAAAAATCATATATAAAATAGGGAGGGTGGGCTGGAGAATTTGTCTGCAAGAATATATTTTCAACCCATTTTGCCTTGTTCATTGATATACATGACAGCCATTTGCTGCTATCTCCCAATTTATCAGTGCTCTTGAGGAAAGCCCTTGATTGTGTGAACAGAGAGGGAGCCATTCTAAACAATATACACTGAAAGGTATAATGCACATGAGAAGCACACTAGTGCCATTACTGCTGCAATTATCTGGGAGGCACCAGGTACATAATGAGGAAGTGGGGTGAACTGGAAGACTGCCATGTGACTCAAAACTACCTGTTGCTCTGATATTGTCCTGACACTAGTGTTGAAGTAAAATTTAATTCATAGTCTATATACATTCTGTAGGTAAGGATATTACACATAGTCCTCATTTAGTGACTGCCTTGTACAGTGACTGCATGCAGTTACGATGGTGATGAAAAAGTAACTTTGTGACCAATTCTTGCATTTACGATCTTTGCAGGTCTGTAAAGCAAAGGAAAGCTGAAGTAAGATCATAAATACAGTCACAGTTTCACTTAGTGACCACTTTGCTTAATGACTGAATTGCAGGTTCCAATTGTGGTTGCTAAACAATGGTTATTGGGACCAAAATTTCTGTTGTTAAGCAATGCAGTCATAAAGCACAGCATCACGTGACCACATTGCTTAGTGACAGCAATCCTGGCACTCCCTGTTGCCATCGTTAAGCAAGGATTGCAGGTTGTTAAGCAAGTCCCAGGCAGCTCGCAAGGAGGCAGGTAAGGCATGGCATGGCAGGGCCAGGAATGGCTGCTGCCAGGTGGGGGGAGGGTGTGTGAGTGGCCCGCAAGAAGCGGTGCGAGCACAGCAGGACCAGGAGTGGCTTCTGCTTGGTGGGGGAGGGTGTGTGAGTGGCCCATGAAGCACGGTCAGGCTGAGGGTGGCTGCTGCCAGGCAGGAGAGGGTGCGAGCAACTTACCAGAGCGACTTGCAACCTTCCCTGCCGGCTTCCCCATTGACTTTGCTTGTGGGAAGCTGGCAGGGAAGGTCGCAAATGGCAATCGCATGAATGAGGGTTGCTGCAGTCATCTTAAGTGTGTTGCCAAGTGCCCAGATCGCAGTCATGTGATTGCAGGGGTGCCGGGACAGCCAAAACTTTGAATACCTTTGAATGGCTGCTGAGCAAGTGGTCATTAAACAAGGACTATCTGTAGTACCATTTTGGCTCAGTTAGCAAAAGAACAAAATGTCTCAGATCTTTTCATTCTTCTTATTTCCTGTGTCCCTTTGATCCTGTTTTGTCTTATTTCTTTATTTTTTAAAGAACAAGCCTGTATTTTCAATAATTCTGCAGAGGTCTGAAATTGTAATCAGAATATAATATAGTTATTAGAAGGCTGTGCCTAAAAGTAATATAACAAGGATGAAATATCTTTTTTTTCCGTAAATGGTAAGGATTTATCTTCTTTTAGTTACCATTTTTCTTCATTTTTGAAAAATAGTAATAAACTACTGGTGTTTTGTATAGAACAGTTGCATATTACAAATTTTCAGTCCTGTTGCTAGCATTATCTTTCTGAGTCTCACACTAGTAAAGGTAGATCCTTTTTTTCTTACAAGACTTGCTGAAGTTTTGTTGACAGCAAGTATGAATTGGAGAAGGAAAGGAAATGAGTTACTGAGCAGTGCAAGCTTTTACTGTGTGTTGATTGGTAGTCCTTCATATAATATGGCCTATAAATTAAAAGCATGTGTAACGTTTATGTTGGAATTGAAAACAATTTCTTTGCAAAGTTAATTTAGTTACATTTTTATTTTCTGTAACCTGAAGGTTTTTATGAGCTCTGTTCCTGGTATAACAGGATGAAGAGGATAATTGAATCCTAGTATAATATGTTTTATTTATAGATGCTGTAATATTTACTTCTGTGTGTTAACTTAGCTTTCTAATCACATTGGTCCAAGAACACAATTTGTTTCACTTTTTGTTTTCAAAGAGAAAATAGTATTCTCCTAGTGACACTAGCCTAAGCTCCTTGGAGGAAGGGCTGAATATAAACGAGCATAGCAGTATTCATAATAAACAATTTGTTCAGAAGCTAATAGAACCTTAGCCTGGGTAATTTTACAATCTTACATTTATTGACTTCAGCATTATATAACAATATATACATTGTGCATTTTTACATTGTTCCCAAATTGCCTCTTTAGATTTAGATGATATTATCCACTGTGGAGGTTTCTTGGATGGCAATCCAGAGGCATTCTGTTCAGTTCAAGAAGAACCTCTCTATGACCCAAGCTTATACCACGTAGCACCGCTGACTTTGATTCACTTAGAGGCTGTGATAGAGGATGGCCAATTTGAAGACGCTGCTGACTGAGACATTCCCAGTATTGGGACAAAATACTAAGCACTAAACTGGATTTCTCTATAAAACTGCTCTTTTTGTGCTCTGAAGTGTCCATATTTGGAAATAACTGGATGCCTTATAAGAATCTAGAATACTGGAAGATTGGGGATTGGATGGATGCAACTTTGTATCACCTTTTGATTTAAACGAGCTTGAAATGGTTTAGGTTTAATTTATGATGTGATGATTGCTGTTAAAGTGCTATTAACTCTTTTCTGTTATCTCAGTTTTACTTTTGGATTTGACTTGCAAGGCTTCACTGAAATAACAGTACACATTTACTTCCATCTCATGAAACTCAGCATCATTACTGCTACAGTTCAATGTTTTTGTATGTCTGTTTGATGTTGGAGGCCATCAGGATGCTGATGGAACAGATAGTATCTAGATGTGTGCGTATTTTATTTAACATAATAAACGTGCAGAAAGGCCGATAGAATATATTGTCTGGGTAGGGCCTGGATGCTTACGCCTACATCTGCTGATTTATTTATGCTAACTTAATGGAAGGCTAATTGACAATGGCTAGCTGGTTCCATAAATAAAGACTGGTTGCCCTGTTATATCTAAACAATTATGGTTCCAAACTGTTAGGACAGTGTAGAAAATTTCACTGGATCTAGGCAATATATGTATTCTGACTACACACACACATGATAAAACTCCAGAAGCACTATAAGCTTAACCCTGTAGTCCCTAGAATAGCATTCAGGGATTGTAGGATTATTTGGTTCTACTCTCTGAGTTCACAGGGCTCCAGTTCGGGGCCAGGGGGAGGGCAAGGAATCAACATCATCTCCCTCTTGCCTATCTGTTGACCACCACAGTTGATGCTTTCCAAGATTAGGAAGTTTTCATTTTTGGAAGAGGGTGTGCCAAAGTATATAGTGAGATGGGTGGGGCTGATGAGCCACAAGATCTACTGCCCCTGCAACATTCCTGCCATGCCTCATGACCTCAAGGTTGAGGGCATGTAGACACGACATTTGGCTGTTCTAAAGAATTTTTCTCACTGCTTGTAAAGGGAGAGAAGTATTTTGTTTTATAAAAAGCCTTAGAAGAGGCCAGCAAGGGGTTGGGGTTTTTGGAATGCTGTGAAGAGAGCCTTGGATTGTTCTTTCTGCTTATGGTTAGTTATAATTTTATGCTTCCCAAAATTGTCTGTTTTGGCATAAGAAATGACCAAAACAGGAAAATATTCAGATGAACTCAAGAACTGTTAACTTGATTTTGGGAGCTGGGGTAAATATTATGCACCTACTCCCTCCTAGCCATGAAACACCTAAGCTGTCTTCTACTTTTCTTTAATAGACAAGAGTATAGACTTTATGGGCTTGTCCTCATGTCCTGCTAATTGCTGCTCAAAGATACCTCACTAATATGTCCCAGCTGTCATTGAAAGAAGCTTGAAGTCATATTTAGTTCTGTTGTTAAAGTGGTGTGTTCTGTTTCCCTGGCCCAAGTCTTGCCATAGAAACCATCTACAGTACAATACCATGGTCATGAAGCTGGGAGTAATGCAATCAGAGGTCTGCCCGGCTCTAATCAGCCACTTGATTCTGCTGTGCCCCCTCACTGTTTGCTAGGCTCTGCCCTCTATAGCCATTTTGACTTGGCTGACAGGGAGACCACACACACTTGGGTTCTATTTTTTTTTCCAATTTGTTGTTTTTTCAGTAGAAGTATTAATTGCTTAAAGGACTAGCACCTCTGAAAACAGGTTAATATACCTGTGAAAGCTCTTCCCCCACCCTGCTAACTGATGTTCTGGGTTAAGTAATTCTGGTTGAAGTGTGAAGTAAAACTGTGTATCTTACTCTGAACTCCATAAGGATTATATATTTATGTGGTTTCTGGTTGTTTTTTCTTTAATGGCTCTGCCAATGTCCTGAAACTTTACAGTAAGGTTTTATACTAGAACTAATTTTTCCTTTTAATTTTTTTTCCTAAATGGATATATTTGACTGACCTATTTTTATGCAACTGTGCTGCTTTGGATGGGGAATATGATATCTTACCTATTGTGTGGGATTCTTCCCTGTCCAACAGGCCATGACATGCCTCGGTCACTCATTCTGTTACTTTGTGGGAACAGTTGCCATGTTTGTCCCTAGCTCTGGCAGCAGTCTACACGGAAATAGATGTTAGTGTGCAATGGCTTATCAAAATGCAATGTACCATGTACTTCTAGGGGCAATTAGACAAAAGGCCAAAACAGGAAACGCTGCCAGTATTAACATTTAGTTTCAACAGTGATCAGAAATGCACATGGAGATCTCTGTCAAAAGTTGGTACCATGGCTCTTGAATGAATGGGTTTGGTCCCTTGTCATTCTCTGTCACTCACTCCTACTCACTTGCTCCTGCTGCTTTCTAACATTGTCACAGCAAATATTAGCCATCCAGTCAATGCGTCCATAACCCTTTGCAGAACACTATCCTCTTCCACAAAGCAATATGAAACAGAAAAAAGTAATCAGATTTTACCATACAAGGAACCTCCCCACCCCCTCCCAAGTTATAGAAAACCCAGCAGTAGCTTTTATTCTCTCTCCCTTTTATTCTTTTTCCTTGAATATATTGATCTCATGGAACACCAACAGTTCTACACTTTTTTTTATGATGTTGGCATAGATTCATTAGAGATAAATTCTTGTGAAAAAGAGATTGAGACAGCTCTATCCCTCTTGAGTGCTTCACTGTATTCCTAATGGTGGTTTCATTTAAGATTTTCATTTCAACTGGACTAGCAACGCCCCAAGAGATCAGTAGTCATATGAAAACATTTTTTCCCATTTCTTATAGGTGGGGTATTTCAGG